TACGTTTACGCAAACCTATTCAGTGGATTTTCCTTCTTGCTGATGTCACTTTGCCTATCATTTGCACAGACCTACTCAACCATCATGATCTACTCGTAAATGTCCATCGAAAACGACCGATAGACAGTACCACTGGACTGTCTATTAAAAGCATCACCTACATAGGTCACATCTTGTCAACGATTAAAAAGAGGACGACAGTTGAGCCAACTTGGCAGCCGACTGTTGACAAGTACGCAGAATTTAATTGCAGATCTAACGATCTACCTTGCATAACCTCCAATGTTGTGATTCACAAGATAACCAAAGGACAACCCATGACATCCGAAGCACGATGGCTTGCTCCCAATAAACTACGACTCGATGAAAATGAATTCGGTCATATGCTCACCCTTGTCATCACTCCACCATCGAATAGCCCATGGGCATCCCCAGTGCATATGGTACTGAAAAAGGATAGCAGCGATTGGCGACCCACTGGAGATTACCGGCGAGTGAACGCCAAAACAACCCTTGATTGCCATCCATTGCTTCACACTCATGACTTGACGGCAATATTATCTGGTGCAACTATTTTCTTGGAAATGGCTTGGTTAGAGCGTATAACCGAATCCCGATGGCACCAGCAGATATTCAAAAAACGGCTATCATTACGCCTTTCTGACTTTTTGAACTTCTACATATGCCATGTGGCCTCCGGAATGCAGCACAAACATTCTGACGCTTCACTGATGAAGTGTCTCGCGGCCTCGACCTTGCATACGCATACTTAGGCGATTTTATCATTACGAGTCCAGACAAATAAACTCACCTTAGACACTTGGACTTGGAATTCGATAGGTTACGCCAACATGGTGTCACAATATTCAAACGTGTCAGATAGGAGGAGCAACACTTGACTTCCTCGGCCACACCAGTGACCTCAAGGGTATCCGCACACTAGCTAATAAAGTTGAGGCGATACTGTACTTTCCGGAGTTACAGACAGTTAAACCTCTTCGCTTTTCTAACTCTTTATCCCCGACCGCGCTTTCACTATCTAGCCACTAACAGACTAGCTTCGATGGAATAACAAGTCCGTAGAACCTGACGTGTCTGCTTAAACTTCTTTCACTCAGGTTAAAAAAGCTATCGTGGATGCCACCCTTATTATGTTTCAGGATACAATGGGACCTTTCTTATCCTTGATTGGACCCCTTTCGGAATCTCGCGGATATACCTGTATTCTCACCTGCATCTACCATTTTAAGACGGTGGCCTGAAGCAGTGCCCCAAAGGATGTTGTCAATGTAGTTGAAGATTGAACGATTAATTCATGGTTGCTTGCTAAAACCCAACTTCCCCACATTTTTCGTGGAGTCATCAATACGGCAGTCATCGTCTCATCGGTCGCTGTTCAGAAGGAAGATTTAAAAACTATCAGAAGTAATATCGTGATTTATTGTTACAACATTTGTTCTTTGACCTTACTGTGTAATAACAGCATTGTTGGTTATACGTCGGCGTTAGAATAAAGGATTCTTGAGTCGCCAAACAGTGTTTTGGTTTTTGCTTCGGTTAATACTAAGCATTACTGAAAATCTTCGAGGGACAGCATGAGGCCCAGCGTAGCAAGAGCTGGGCATTGACGGTTTATGACACTTGACTGACAGATATATCTGCTGAAACAGTCTCACGCGTCTTTGTCGAACGATGGATCGCAAGCTTTGTATGCTCATTCTCCATAACAACTGATCGTGGACAGCGATTCGAAAAAGGCTAGTTGTATGCCTTGACTAAAATCTTAGGTTGCATGCATTCCATAACAATGACCCCCATCCTCGAGCTAATGGTATGGTAAGACGTCTACACCGGCGTTTGAAGGCTGGGTTACCGGCTATAAACCATGCATATTGGACTGAATCACTACCGTTAGTTCTTCTATGGCTACGAAATGCCTCGAAAACTGACGCTGATTACACTGCTGCCGAGCTAGTAAAGGGCACAACACTACGACTGCCAGGTGAGTTTTTTTCTCCCTCTAGCTTCCCAACAGCGATAGACCACGCCTCATGCGTCAGCAGGCTTACAAACTCAATGAGTTCAACTAAACCCGCACCCTACGACCACAGCTCATACACAACTTTGTTCACCCGTGTTTGAAAGCTTCTACATATGTATTTGTTCGTCATGACTCTGTGCGTCACCCTCTGGAACGCCCATACGACGGGCCATATAAAGTCATTAAACGTATGGATAAATTCTCTATCCTAGGCGAAAAGGTCGCGAAGACTCTGTTAGCATCGACCGTCTGAAACCGGCCTTCTTATGAGGCAATCCCATGAGCCTAGAACTAATTATTCCCACTAATACACAAGGAACTGAATGTCTGTCAGCACTCAAAGAAATCAGTGGCATGAGGATGGCGACCGAACCTTATATGGTGCCCTCAAAGAAAGCACGTCCTGGACGAATCGTGAGATTCCCAGAACATTTTCGCACTGTACTGTCACAACATTCCTTCATTAACTTGTATTCTTATTCTAGTATTTGTACCGTTTCGAAATGGCCTAACTAGCACTCGCCACACCCATTTTGACGTCAGAATGTTCCTAGTCAAGTCTATTCAACCTTTTTACTCTGCCTGCCCTACTTTTTCCTTGGTACTGACGCTATCATCCCTCTGCATGCATCTCTGCGTTCCTCCGATGTTATATTTTTTATGCTTGTCTTCTTTTTGGATCGCATAAACAGAACTACATCAAAGGTGAGTGTATGGTCTTTTTCACCCTGGAAGGAGTTTCCGTGAACCTAGCTCGCTTTCCCTACACTATGTGACCTGTGACTTCAAACCCTATGCGTTTTTTTGTTCGTCCCGTTCGAATTTCTCAGCATCAACTTTCTCCTTTCGCTTCATAATTCTCAATACTTCTTCCTATTCCGTTTCCCATCTCTTCATACTCAACCGTTGGTGATGCATTCAGATCCTTATTGTGCATCAGTAATCATGGTTTTCCAGCTCACATCAAATGAAATGATGGCTTCCTTGCCGTTCATTGGGTGGAAGCACGATGTTCCGGCCAAATCAGTGTCTCCCAGTTACCCCTGTTTAGGCCAACCACTCACTAGGTATACAGCTATTTAGCTCTGTCTCAGAATTAGTTCATGAATGAGATGGTGATGTACTAATATTCTCAAAACGCATCCGCCGCATTTGGGATGCAAACTCTTTACTCTCAAAACAAGAATCCCGATTGTTAGTATCATCTTTAGTACAATGTGCTTTTCGAAAACGTTTCTGAACAGTGTGCTAATCTCAGACTTGCCGCGTCTACATGGGACTGCGAAGGCGTCTATACACTGTGAAACGTGTTCAGTCGTCGCCAGCAGGTATTGACTGCTACTTGATGTTTGATGAATAGGTCTTCAAGTCACCGACTGCATTAACTAGAGCCGAATGCACAGACGATCGTATGCACCAGTCTCCTTTCATCAAATGTCACTGTGGACCTCCCTGCATATTTTTTGAGACATCCTCCACACCTGGCTGGTACATGCTTTGTCTCAAGATTTTGATTGTTCTGGCTGCACACTTATATATTGCTCTTGGCATTTCCATGTCATCTCATGTAGTATGGAGCGAAGTATTGCCCTCACTAACTTCGATCGCTCTGTCGCCAATTTAGAATTCCTTAAGCCATCAGATTTAGTCGATTTTTCTGTGTGTATCACTGTTAGCTCCTTATTTAGTTCAATTTACTTCCATTCCGTTAGCAATTACGTGTTCAGAAAAGAATGCAACTTTTGACTACGTCAGGGTGTTAATATGGATTGATTCAATGTGTGAACTGTAAATCACATAAATAAACTTCATATTTCGGTTTGGATGAATGGCCTGCTGGCAGATTTTCTTTTTCCAGGACATGTGGGATAATGAAGTGGTTCTACAGCAGGTAGACATCCACCACGACATTTCTCCGTGTGGTCCCCTCCCTGCCTTTATCCACAGTATGCTACATATGCGAACTTATTCACTCGCAGGTAATAAATATAGGCACAACTACCAAGCGTCTTATATGACTCACACTGAGATGTACCTCGAATGTGCAATTCTCTTTTAACAACAAAATAAACTACCAAAAGGATGGTATACCTATGGGCTCACCACTGGGCCCGCTGCTTGCAGATTTCTTCATGAAAAAACTCGAAAGTACGTGCCTAAAGAAAATAATCGATACCTTCGAATCCTACGAGAGATACGCCAACGACACTTTCGTTATTGTCAATAATGTGGAAAATCGAGGTGAAATCTTAAATTCCTTTAACAACTGCCACCCTGCGATTCAGTTCACCTTAGGGAAAGAGTTTAACTCCAAAATATCCCTCCTTTACGTTCAACTAACAAGACGAGAACAAGACGGAACGCTTAAAAGGTCTAGCTACAGAAAGTAGACGTGGAATAGATAGCTTACTAACTTTCACAGTTGGGTGCCTCTATACACTAAACATAATCTGTACCGCTCACTCAGCTACAGAGTTCCCAGAATCTGCATGCCGGATACTATGGAAGACAAACTGAGCGATCTCAAGAGAATCTACGTTCAGAATTGTTGCCCAGAACGATTTGCTGAATAATCCATGGATTCTAGACAGCGAAAGCCGCGCACGCTTAGCGACCCGAAAAACCTCCTCTACATGAACCTTCAATTCAATAGAGATTCATCTGCGGAAACAGTGAAAAATTGATTGTCCCATTCACTTTTAAAAACCTTCTTTGCAGCTGAATTACGAATAACATACTGCATGAAATCTATGATTCGTATGAACATGAATGGTAAATGGTACTTGTAGACCACAGTATTCTCCTATCTAACTAATAAGCGTCTCCAAGCTTCCTTTCTGGAAACTCAGACAGATATAAAACCAGTTCCCATACATATATTTGAGATTTTTGGATAATCTGTTGGGTCACAATGCCCTTGCCATGGATAGTACTATGGTTGAAGGACAGATATTTCAACCTTCGAGTCTAACCATAGCGCCGTTTTCAATTGTTTGCCGTACTTCAGGATGTCGGCAGTAGCAGCACAAAGTGAGGGAGTAACAAAGCTTCAGCAAGCTCGCACTGCTGCTCTAGCAAAGATTGAAGAAGCCCGAAACAGTAAGTTTCACCAAAAAAAGTTAATTTGACAAAAACAGGAAGAGCAAAACGTCTGAAGGATGCCAAAGGCGAAGCCAACGTTGAAGTAGAGGCATTTAAAGCACAACAAGAAGCTCACTATAATTCTCTCGAGTTCCAGGTATGAATTAAGCGCTGACTTAATCATCCTTGACAGATGAACTCACAACTTGGACCATATGAAGAGGTTTGTCGTCAAATGACGACCGAACAGCTGAACGCAATCCAACGTTCTTTCCTCTCCAATAAGGATGCAGCCTTGCAATTACTGCTTTCCACAGTTTTGGACGTGAAACCAGTTGTTCATGTGAATTTTGGCTACAACAAATCAGCCTCATCTTAGTTTTTTTCTCTCTTGAAATTAAAAGGGTCATGTGGACCATATGAACAAGCATAATATTATCAAGATTGTGATTTTAGTCTCAATTGTTTGGATTACTCTAATTCACTAATAATAAATGATTTTGTTTTATCTCTATACAAGCCCTCATTACTTGCCTAAACAGTTGTTTAGGAAGGCTTAAACCTTCCAACTGGGTCGTTGGGTTGGTGTTGACCAGTTAGAGGGTTTTACGTTGAACTTTTACTTCATTTGTGGCATAAGTGCTTAGGTGAAAGGCATGTCACTACTGTTTGCTGGAATTTAACCGTATTTTTTTGCTTGGAACGCACTGTATAGACAAAGCCCTACCGGGAGGGACGAGCCCTACAAGTCGATAATACGCATCTGTTGTATCATATTTTATGCTGTTCATTGTCGACTGCTCTTCTAAACTTTAGAAATACAGTTTTACAGGTTGTCTTTAATCAGTACAAAGTCACTTACGATGGATTATTCTCTGCATATTGTCACCATGAAATACTGTCTTGCGCATAAAGCGAATAACCCAGTTTTTTTTTTAATTAAGGTGTGAAGTACTGTATGAGTGAGTATTTTAGAACGTTAGTCTTTTGCTAAGTGCTTCACGAAGCAAATATGATTGAGACTGCCTGCTAAATCAAAGCTGTTGCTTGCCCTAGAGAGTAAAGAAATACTGTTTTACTTATATTGTTATTATTCACTGTTATGTCACCTAAATAAACCAGACAAAATCACTCAATGTTCTCTCCAAAGATCAGTGGGTTAACTCGGCGTTAATTGAGGATTCCAACAGTAAGTTGATCACACCTATGCTAGAAATGTATGTGTGCCGGTATCCAAGTTGAATACTCAACTGTTAGTAATATGGGAGAACAACAGACTTTTATTGAATATGACAAACCACAAGCAGTGAATACTTCTGCTCCATTCAGAACGATTTTGAACAATACCCATTGTCTTCAGCCTGCACTGGTTTTTACTGTCCTTAGGACGCAAAACCAGTCAGGAAGTCTACAGCTTCCTAAGTGGCTGGCTTAAACTAACTGTTGTACATTTCATTGATTGATGACGCTGTGTTTTGGTTTGACCACCACTGGCTCTTTTCCAGCCTAAACCTATGTTAGCCAGCATTGCCCGTCGGGGAAGGCGATGGTTGGACATGCATGACACATGTCCTAACTATCTCAATCGGTGTACCTTCACATTCTGATTGATCGATTTCCCCTCGTTACCTAGCACTTGACCGATGTCTAACCTCAATATTGCTCATCCTACTATACGACTTAACACACACGAGAGATAGAACGCAGACACATATGATCAAAGACAGCTAGCTAGGACTTTCATATCTCCCACTTTCAGTGGCCATCATTCACGACCAGCCGTAAAGGGTGACTGGGCGAACTGCTGCTCAGTGCACACTTCCCTTAATCTGTAGGCACATATGATGTCTACTAAGCCAGAGATGGCATGAGTTGGCCAATGCCAAACTAGCCTGAGTAAATAGAGTACACCCGTATATCATTTTTGTTTTCTATCGTCATATTAATTACTGTATTTTTGAATTTGTTGATACTGCGGCACTTTTTTTCTTCTTCAAAGGAGGGAAATCAAACACTAGTAGGTTATTGTATCCTAGAAACTGTCAGCAGTTCTAGTTTATTTTTTGTTTTTTTTTTCGGTCGAATTCACGAATGTCATCTTGTAGGACAATATTTCAAACCCCTCAGTTACATGACTGTTCACTAGTATTATGAAATTTACGCGTTGTTGTATGTTGATATTAATTCCATGACTATTAACTAGCGTTACCCTTGATTTTGGAATTTTCACATATGGTCAATGGTTCATTAATTAGTGAATGAATGAATGAGTTTACCGATGTTCACTGGAAAAAGTATTAAGTTCTTTTGATTGGACACTAGTTGGTGACTAGTGTAATGTATGTCTAGTCCTTTCTTTGTTTCGTGCAGACTGAATTCTATCACTCAGGTTGTAATGTGGCCACCATTCTAGGTAGTTCGCTATCACCGTGCATATTGATTTGATGATATTAGAGGGTTGGAGGCAATCAGCCACAGGAAACCTTGCTTGACCTAGGTTTCGTGCTAGTTGGCACTCACCAGTCAGCAAGACGTATCTGCAACCTTCAACTTCATCATAGATGTACTATTGGACTTAACCCTAAGTGACGTCAGCGACTCAGGGATTGACTTGCTACCAGGGAATAATCTCGTTGACTTAGAATATGCAGACGATATAGTCCTCCTAGGCGAAGACGCTGACAAAATGCAGAGTCTTCTAAACGCATTGAGCAGCAATCTACGAATGTTTGGCATGCGATTCGCTCCCGCCAAATGCAAGATGATGTTACAGGACTGGACTGCAGCGACTCCTAGATTCGAAATAGGGAGTGAAGTGGTAGAGCACGTTGACCGCCTCACTTATTTGGGAAGTACCATCAGCCAACGCCAACGGGTTGATCTCTGACGAAGCCTTAGCACGGATACAGAGGGCTAGTTTCGCATATGCGAGTTTACACCGTCTCTGGCTTAGTAGACGTGATATCCGGTTGGCTATCGACCAAAGGGCAGGTGGACTGCTCATCAGTCCGCTCCGTCCTCCTTTATGGCCGGCTGTAAGACCTGGCCACTGAGAGTGAAAGACATGAAAAGATTAGCTGTCTTTGATCATAGGTGCCTGCGTACCATCTCCCGTGTAAAGTGGCATAATAAGGTGAGCAATATTGAGGTTAGGCGTCGAGTGCTAGGTAAACAGGGGAAATCAATCGACGAAGTTATGAAGTTACAAAGACTGAGATGGTTAGGACATGTGTTACGTATGCACGCCTAGTCATCGCCTTCCTCGACGAGCAATGTTAGCGGATATAGGGTCAGGCTGGAAAAAAGCTAGTGGAGGTCAAACAAAAAACATGGCTTCACCAGTCAATGAAATCTACAACAGTTAGTCTAAGCCATGTAGGAAGGTGTAGACTTCCAGGTTGGTGTCCTCGGGACGGCAAAAACAAATGGTTGGAAACAATTGGTGATATGGCTCAAAATCGTTCTCAATGGCTGGTGCAGATGCATCCACTCCCTGTGACTTATGACTATGTTGTTCTTCGTTACTACTATTCCTTTGTCTCACACCTCTGTTTACTGTCTTTATTATGCCTTTCTTGTACTTTCTTCTCTTACTTTGTGTGCTACAAGGAGTGGAGTGTGGCGACCTGAACTGCCGCACATATGTGCAAAGTTCTATGTCGAAAACAGAGACAGCCTTCCGTAAGCATGCCGAGCTTTTGTCAGCGGTCAACCTCCCGGCGTTGGCTGATACAACTTCCAAAATTAGTGAAGTGGTCAACATGCCCCATCAACCGCTTCATTCCCTATCTTTAGGCTAGAAGTGAGTCGATCTAGTCCAGTCCTATAGCATCATCTTACATTTGACGGGAGAGAGTCGCATACCGACCATTTGAAGATTTCTGCTCCTCAAAGTATGTCAGCGGACTCTGATCTACTTTGTCAGCATCTTCACGTAGAAGGACTGCATCTGCATATTCCAAGACAACGAGATTATTTCCCGATGGTAACAAGTAAATCCCTAGAGTCAGTTCGGGTTAAGTCCACTAGCACATATATCTATGATGAAATTGAATAGAAACGGCGAAAAGTGAGCATCACTGACGGACACCATTTCAGATTACAACTCTGCATAGGTTATCACCTTGCTGCATGAGTTCGAGTAGAGTGCCTTGATCAGTGCAATGTATTTTCTCGGCATTCCCTTTACAGTCAAGCATCACCAGAGTACCTATTGGTCGACAGAATCGAATGACGCCTTTAGGTCAAGAAATATAATGATTGTTGGACGCCGGTAAGTATGCCTATGTTGTAGAATCTGTCGAAGGGTGAAGATATGATCAATACACCCTCTTCCTAGTCCAAAGCCTGCCTGGTTCTCTCGTGTTTGTTCCTCTCATGCACTACTTCGTTTACGCATAGTTATTGAGCCTAGAACTCTGGATACCATATCGGTCAAGCTAACCCCCCTGTGATTATCACAGCAAGACTTGTGTCCCTTTTTGTATAACGGGATAATCAATGATTTACACCAACCCGACGGGACTTCCTCTGATTCTCAGACATTGCCTAATACCTCAGTTAAAGAAGATAGTAAACTGTCTCCGCCATCCTTAAATACCTCTGGAGTCATTCCATCAGGTCCCGCTGCTTTGCTTCATTTTAGACCAGTCACAGCTTTTCTAACTTCAGTTAGGGACGGAGGACCTGTGTTTATATCGCATTCGGGGAGGTGTTGGATGTTCGGCTGTAGGCCGAAAAAATTGCTCCTCAAAGTGTTATTTTCAACCTTCCAGTCGTCCATCCTAAGAGCTGATGTTGGTGCCATTTTTCTCCGAGATTGTTTAACTTATCATTTGCCATTTGTTCCCCTGATAAGTCTAAATAGTTGTCTAGTGTTACCTATCGCCGATGCCTTTTCCATCTCTTTCGCTTCTCTCGCCTACCACTGTCCACGGTCGTTGCGAAGGCTTCTTGTTAGTTTTCGTCTGAGTAGTTTTCAGAAAACTGTATCCTCGCACGTCTAAGTATAAAAATTCTATGATACCATACTTGGCACATATTTCATGTGATGAAAATAGTGTCAAGCAAGAATTAACTAACCGTTTTTCATCTAGTAAATAAACAATTTGCTCTATCCATCCATCCTTATATTGTTTCAAGCTTTACTTTTATTATTTCTATTATATACTGATGGTCCTGTTGCTTCTTTGTTTGTTTTACCCTCATAATTGCAAACACCAACTTATCTCTATGACTGCTGTAATCTTCGTTTTTCCCCTCACCATATCATGTAAAGAGAACATTATATTCAATATTTTTAAACATGTTAGGATTTCTCTATACGGCACTGACAATTACTGTGTGAAACAAGCCCACGGCAATTTTCACCTGTATTATTATCACTATTACCTCAGCTGTTATCATTATTATTATTTCCATTTTATATGCTCCATGTTTCTGACATTACCCCTATTGTAAATGTGGAAGATTTTCTGTGTGATTAATTTTTATTTATAATTTGAGGAAATTAGATGCAATATTGTGTGTGATTAATGCTGAGAATTCCATTCTGTATCACAAGTACTGTTTTTGAAATAAAGTAAATCATTATTATTATTATCATATCCGGAGCTCGTATCGCCATTTCTTCTTTAAATGTGGACTCAGTGTCTTGATGTAGTTGAAGGTGTGACTGCTTCGTTGTCAACATTTTTTTATGTCCATTTAATCGTAAGCATAAAAGTGCGCCAACCAGGGCAGTCTCCTGCTTACCCTCACCAACGATAGCCTATCGCTATGTGGTCATTTTCAGTCCAGGTTAGGCAATGTCTCTTTTTGTGCCTAAAGTTAATGGTGACTACGAACAGATGATTACCTGAACAGAACTGCAGAAGACGATCACCGTTGTCGATTCGTCAGCACGGAACTGCTAGTCGATACTAAGAATATCGATAATACTTCCCACGGTGTATTACAACATCACAATTCTTTGAAGGTGACTCCACTTGTGCTCGAAATGGTTTTAATACAAGCAATATGTTTCATCACTCTCCATATTCATATTCCTGTCCTCTTTAAATAATAAGTAAAGTATTGATTGCGACCGACCCAGTGACATGGAACTTCTCAAAACTTCGCATTAGTCCATGTCATCACGTTTCGAAAATAGGTGCAATGAAACAACAGTAGACGAAGATGTATATGGGGTAGAATAGTCAGTACCGTTCTATGAATAAACGCCAACTACCTGATCTTAACGCTAGGAGAACTCTCCAGACAGATAATCTACAACCACCTATGTCTGTCTGTTTTCGACGTAAAACTTTGCACTGACGTGCAGCAGTTCGAGTCCCCATACTCCTTCTTTGTAGCACACAAAGCAAGAGAAGAAATGCATAATAGAGACAGTAAACAGAGGAGTGAGACAAAGGAATAGTAATGACAAAGAACGGTATAGTTTCATTTACAATCATGTCACTAGGAGTGGATGCATCTGCAACAGCCATTGAGAAGGATTTCGAGTCATATCATCAATTGCTTCCAGCCATTGGTTTTTACTGTACCGAGGACCCCAACCAGGAAGTCTACACCTTCTTACGTAACTGGCCTAAACTAACTGTAGTGGATTCATTGACTGATGAAGCCATGTTTTGGTTTGAACGCCGCTAGCTCATTTCCAGCCTGACCCTACGTCAGCTAACATTGCCCATCGAAGAAGGCGATGACTAGGCATACTTGACACATGTCCTAACCATCTCAATCGATGTAACTTCACAGTCTCATCGATTGATTTCGCCTCCTTACCTAGCACTCGACCACTGATGCCTAACCTCCATATTGCTCACCTTATTATACCACTTCACACAAACGGGAGATAGAAGGCAAGCACCTATGATCAAGACAGCTAGTTAGCCAGGCTTTTCATGTCTTCCACTCTCAATGGTCAGGTCTCTTAGCCATAAAGGAGGACGGAGCAGACTGCTGAGCAGTATAAACGCTTTTTGGTCGACAGCCAGTCGGATATCACGTTTACTAAGCCAAAGACGGCGTAAACTCTACAACCACCTAGTGGGTGTGCTAATACAGTTTATGACTTTTTGTATTGCTGTTATATTTGGTTTAGGTCACTTATAACTCTTTTCCAACCGAGTCTTATTTCAGTTAGTATCCCACGTCGACGATGGCAGTGATTTGGCATGCGTGACACATGTACATCTCAACACCCCCCCCCCACAATCCATTGAGTTTTTCTTCTTACCTTAGCACTACCACTAATACTAACCGTACTGTCTAATAGACGATACTGGACGAAAGCGCCTGTAGTAGTGATAACGTTTAACTCGTTGGTGACAGTTACACTCTCTCTAAAACTCTTTGTGACAATGGCATATTTATTTGTTTAAACGCGGAAAAAACTTGGTACAATATGGCACCAAGAAAGATGTGCCACACCTGTGTGAGGGCTAAGATACTGCCCGGGCGCCCAGACCGAAGCAGATGGTTTTCTTAAAGGACCACCCCCGAGCTTTTAACTCGGAGTCTAATCTGCAAGGCAGCGGAACAGCGTCAGGAGCTGTATTCCCATGGATTCCGGTGACCCATATGGGTTCGTTCATACGCCATTGGATTCTGGAGCCCATGTACCCCATGGTAACTGCTTTTAGTCTAGCCGCTATCCAAACAATCTTCCTGACATGGTAAGACCTGCAGGGACATGAGTCCCAGCCAGTTTACTTTGTTGCATCACTGCGGTATTCAAACCCGACCACCACGGCAAGGTAGCAGTTGTTGGCCGGGTGTGACATTGGCGTATCTGCATCTACTTAGTTCTACTATTGATAAGATGAATACATCTCATCACTCCACACACACAAATAAGGTATTCGAAAAAACAAAATACGATAGAAAGTAAAGTACATCACATGATTTATCATACATTTGAAAAGTTGAAGCATAAGATGCATAAGCTTTAATAATATCTGCTTTCGATAAATTTCTATGATGATGAGAATGACAGCAGCTGGACGTTGAACTACTAGTACTCGGACTCGGAAAGCTTTCATCTTCACTGGTTATTTCAGTATAATTATCGATTAGTGGTGACGGTGATAGTGTATGACTGTCTGTACTATTCAACTGGATATCATTGAAATGATTATATGCTAAACGTTCATAAAATACAAGATAAGCAGGACTTGATTGTACTTGTTTCAATGGGACACGCATTACGTGTGAATCTGATGTCAATATCCAAGGGGAATCCGATACTTGACGACGATGGTGAAGAGGATTTGATATTCCACAGAAATAATTTGTAATACAGTCATATAGAGTTGTTATAACACGAATTAACCACCAATAATGCCTTTGTAGATTATGATTATTATTATAATAAAATGTTCGAGGTGTTTGCGTTTGCCGCCATTTACGATAGGTGATATAATGTCCACATTGAAGTAATGCACCTTCATGAACAATAACTGAACGAAGAATGTATGGTTTCAAATAACTGTTAAAATAGGAAAAAAAGAGAAAATTATTATTAGAAATCATGTTAGAGAATTAAATATTTTAGACTTTTCCCGTCTTTTGACTGGACCGAAGTGCTCGGTCTCAGTTTGACATGTCATCTTCTTGTGCAGATGATTCGACGATGTCTGCGCATGTTATTAGAATTTTTAATTGGTGGATGATGGTGACTAGCAATGGAATCCAAGATAACGCCCATTTTGTCCTACTTGTGACTCGTCAACTTGATGTACCTGTTAATTCTAATTACATGTCCAGACATCGTCGAATCATCTGCACAACAAGCCGATATGTCGACCTGAAACCAAGCACTTCGGTCTCATCAATCGACGGGAAAATCTAAAATTGAATGAAATAACTAATATGACCCGTTGCACAACAAGTGACTCTCGTGGGCCAAGTGGTCTAATGGATTAACGCTTTCCCGTTTGAAACTATGGGAACTGAGTTCGAGCCTCGGTGGAAACATCATCACTCACTGCGCGATGCAGGTACACCCATCTGACGAGTCAGTCCCACATAGGACGAAATGCGCGTTATCCTGGATTATTTATTTATTTTATTTTGATTACAGCTTGATTCCACACTTGTATTTTTGGTACAAGTATGGAATTTTCAGCATGGATATCGGTAGCCCAAATTTCGCAGGCCGACCATAGATATCAAGTGTGCATGGTCGGCGAGAGTTCTAACCACTGTGCCACCACTGCTAGTCACCATCCACCAATTAATGTTAGAGAATATTTGCAAAAATTTGTAAGAAATCAGTTCCCCATAGGTAATGATTAGGTAGGTGATCAATTTACTAAGCAACTAACTGTAGTTTCAAGTAACAGTGGCAATCAACACATTTGCTCAAATGATATCTCTATGAGAAAGTTAAGATGCACTGAAATAAGTAATTTGGTTAGTTCCATTATGGGTAAGATTTATTTTGATAAAGTCTCACAGTGCTGTACAGTAAGTGATATTTACTGACAACGTTTCGAGCACAATTTACCATTGCGCATAATCATATCAAGGTACTCACACAGCTTTCTAACTTCGTTTATATAATTCCATCATTATTTTTCATTGCTTGATTTGATTGATAGTAGTATTTTCCGTATTTCCGGTATGAGTGATGAGTCATTCCTATTGCTCGTGATGGGTGTAGACTCAATGAACAAAGATTCAGTAGTCAATCTCTTTCGCTCTCCACCTACAGAGATTGCTTCTTAGAATTTTATCCCTCTCCCACGACCCTATTGTGTGTAGTGCAGTCGGTGAGCTTTTTTCCAAATTACTTATCTTCTCGGAGTCAACCATTCGTTAGGGATCAACCCGTTGGGGCTGAAGGTATTTCCCAAATAAGTGAAGCGGTCAACGTGCTCTACCACTTCACTCCCTATTGCTAAACTAGGAGTCAGTGTAGTCCAGTCCTGTAACATCATCTTACATTTGGCAGCAGGAGAAAATCGCATGCCAAACACTTGAAGATTGCAGCTCAAGGTGTTCAGAATACTATGCCCTATTTTGTCAGCGTCCTCACCCAGAAGGACTACATCATCTGCATATTCTAAGTCAACGAGATTATTCCCTGGTGGTAGCAAGTCAATCCCTGAGTCTTTGAAGTCAGTTAGAGTTAAGTTCATTAGCACATACATCTGTGATGAAAGTGTATAGAAATGGGAGATAATCGGCATCCCTGACGAACACCACTTCAGATGACAACTCGTCGTAAGCTTTCACCTGGCTAACTGCATGAGTTCGAGTTGAGTGAATGGCTTGATCAGTGCAATGTATTTTCTCGGCATTCCCTTTACACAGCCTTTACATGGAGTCTACTTATAATTAATACCCCCCCCCCCTAAGATTCATTGGTAATAATAATATGAAATTAAATCAAAGAAAATATGAATTCCGGATCACACTATAATAATAATAATAAGTAATCAAGTGAAAATCAATATTTTCTATAGTTTGGTTTGTAAGGGTTAGTTTTGTTTTTACGAGTTGATCACGGATTGATATCAATGGGTGCGCACTGCCGATGATTCCCAAACAACTAGGATGAAACAGCTGTCCAGTACTCTCGGGTTTTCAATGGTTGCCTAACTGATATCAATCCGTGATCAACTCGTAAAAACAAAACTAACCCTTACAAACCAAATTATGGAAAATTAATCTGATGCTCGCTAGTGACTACTGGCTACGGGACGGAGTTTCCTGGAATTCTAGTGAGTCGTGACCAGTGAGGTCCATGTAGATGTCAGGTGTGAGGATGGATGTCCCACCTACAATAATGGTTGGCGTCGCGCTAAGTCACGAATTGGTAGGAGTTAGAATTCATGGACTGGTCATTGAATCGAGTCCCAGTGGCTGTCTGGCAGTACTCCAGTGCTGGTTTTCAATGGTTCTCTAACTGATATCAATCCGTGATCAACTCGTAAAAATCAAAATCAATAGCCCCCCCCCCAAAATAAAAACAAAAAAAACCCCAACCTACTCAAAACTTACTCTTTCTGTGATAATTTTCTATTATTGAACGATGAAAAAGCGTCACCATTGTTATCACCATGTGAATTGATAACTTGTAATGAAGCTGCCGAAGATTGCTTTGACACTTCTTCTCCTCCTGCTCCTGTTCCTCCGTAGAGCATTAAATACGGTGCCATATTTAAATATTCAGGAATATGCACATATTCTGACCGCTTAGTTGCAATTCTAGCAGTACTACAAGTAGTAGGTAATGAAGAATTTCGATTGAATTGGCAAAAACCATTCACCGGGAACGGTGTTGTATTGATATTCAACCAATCACTTCTTTGAATATACAGGACTAAATACTTTGGTGTATGCGTGATCCATTGTTCACGTTGACAATAATTCGATGGTGATGATGATGAGGCAGCAGCAGAAGGGAATTTTGATGTTGTTGTCATAGGAACAGGAGGCTTTTTTAAACAATTAGGACATTTCATATCAGGTAAGGGTTCAACTGTTGCGGATTGAGTATCAAGGCATTCAACAAGATCTATTACTTTCATCGCTGAGGTGGTAGTGTTTAATTGTTGATTTTGTAATTTTTTATTACTGGCTAATGATGATGAGGATGATGGAGTTGTACTGTTAGGATTCTCTATAATATAAACAAATCAGATAATTATAAAAAAAGAGAAAATATATATAAATTTAAAAATTCATTCTTTGTGATAATGATTCGGATAAAAAAGTACAATAATTACTGAATTCAATGAAGTACATTCGGCTATGAATTCCAAGACAGAATTCTGTCTCTGTCTGTCTGTTTTCGACATAGAACTTTGCACAAATGTGCACCAGTTCAAGTCGCCACACTACGTGTAGCACGCGAAGCAAGAGAAGAAAGTACAAGAAAAGCATAATACAGACAGTGAGGAGAGGTGTGAGACAAAAGAGGAGTATTAACGAAGAACAAAACAGTTTCATTGGAGATCATAAGTCACAGGGAGTGGATGCATCTGCGCTAGCCACTGAGAACGATGAGTTTGAGCCATGTCACCAATTGTTTCCAACCATAGATTTTTACCGTCCCGAGGACCCCAGCCTGGAAGTCTACACCTTCCTACATGGCTTAGACCAACTGTTGTGGATTTCATTGACTGGTGAGGCCAAGTTTTTGTTTGACCGCCGCTAGCTTTTTCCCAGCCTGACCCTATATCCGCTAGCATAGCTCTTCGAGGGAGGCGATGGCTTGGCATACGTAACACATGTCCTAACCATCTCAGTCTTTGTAGCTTTACGACTTCGTCGATTGATTTCCCCTGTTTACCTAGAACTCTACGCCTAACCTCCATGTTGCTCACCTTATTATGCCACTTTACACGGGAGATGGTACGCAGGCACCTATGATCAAAGACAGCTAGTCTTTTCATGTCTTCCACTCTCAGTGGCCAGGTCTCGCTCACAGCCATAAAGGAGGAAGGAGCGGACTGATGAGCAGTACACCCGCCCTTTGGTCGATAGTCGAACATCTCGTCTACGCCAGAGTCGGCGTAAACTGGCAAATGCGAAACGAGCCCCTTGTATTTGTGCTGAGATTTCGTCAGAGATCAGAGAATTGCCTTCCTGGATGTCCTCCATGCAAGAAAACCAGATAAGTAGCATAAAAAGACATTTGCATTGGAAAAGTACATGAACAGGACAATGTTATACACATTTTCACAGCTTCGTTCCTCTCCAGTACAAAAGAAATTTAGTAAAGACCCTCAGACACACAGAGTTAGTTGGAGCTACATGCTCGGAAGAGGTAACTGATAATGAATCAAGCATTGTACAAGATAATTTGATCGAAAATAGCCAGCTATCCCGACAAATTTATCAAGAAACACATGACAAAGAAAGCGGCGGAAAAGGACTACTCACTATATGTAAACAAGAAGCCTCTTTATATACGACTACAAAATTCAAGGGTGATATACTATCAAGTGAGATAATTACGAGGAAATTAAGAAAATCAGTTCAAAGAACTACACGCCTTATTTTTCTACACGACCGATGGTGATTCCTCGACTGAAAGATGAAGTAGCTAGACTAGCTAGCCACCTCTAATTGTATCTACTGATTCCAATGCGCTTGTGGTCTGTCTTGTCTGTTTTCGACATAGAACTTTGCACAAATGTGCGGAAGTTCAAGTCGCCACATTCCGTGTAGCACGCGAAGCAAGAGAAGAAAGTACAAGAAAAGCATAATAGAAACAGTGAGGAGAGGTGTGAGACAAAGGAGTAATAAAGAAATACAAAACAATTTCATTGAAGATCATAAGTCACAAGGAGTGGTTGCATCTGCGCCACTGAGAACGATTTTGAGCCATAAAAAAAAAAAAAAAAAAAAAAAAAAAAAAAAAAACCCGAGGACCCCAGCCTGGAAGTCTACACCTTCCTACGTGGCTTAGACCAACTGTTGTGGATTTCATTGACTGATGCCAAGTTTTTGTTTGACCGCCGCTAGCTTTTTTCCAGCCTGACCCTATATCCGCTAACATAGCTCGTCGAGGGAGGCGATGACTTGGCATACGTAACACATGTCCTAACCATCTCAGTCTTTGTAGCTTCACGACTTCGTCGATTGATTTCCCCTGTTTACCTAGAACTCTACGCCTAACCTCCATGTTGCTCACCTTATTATGCCACTTTACACGGGAAATAGAACGCAGGCACCTATGATCAAAGACAGCTAGTCTTTTCATGTCTTCCACTCTCAGTGGCCAGGTCTCACAACCATAAAGGAGGACGGAGCGGACTGATGAGCAGTACACCCGCCCTTTGGTCGATAGTCGAACATCTCGTCTACGCCAGAGTCGGCGTAAACTAACAAATGCGAAACGAGCCCCTTGTATTCGTGCTGAGATTTCGTCAGAGATCAGCCCGTTGGGGCTGATGGTACTTCCCAAATAAGTGAAGCGGTCAACGTGCTCTACCACTTCACTTCCTATTTTTAAACTAGGCGTCGATGTAGTCCAGTCCTGTAACATCATCTTGCATTTGGCGGGAGCGAATCGCATGCCAAACATTCGTAGATTGCTGTTCAAGGTGTTTAGAAGACTCTGCATTTCGTCAGCGTCTTCGCCTAGAAGGACTATATCGTCTGCATATTCCAAGTCAACGAGATTATTCCCAGGTAGCAAGTCAATCCCTGAATCGCTGAAGTCACCTAGGGTTAAGTCCATTAACACATCTATGATGAAGTTGAATAGAAAAGGAGATAATGGGCATCCTTGACGGACACCACTGGTCGTCATCAGTTCAGATGACAGCTCGCCGTAAGCCCTCACCTGGCTGTATGAGTACGAATAGAGTGCCTTAATCAGTGCAATATATTTTCTTGGAATTCCCTTTACAGCCAAGCATCTCCAGAGAACTTCCCGATCGACAGAGTCGAATGCTGCCTTTAGGTCAAGAAATATAATGACTGTTGGACGCCGGTAGGAATGCCTATGTTCTAGAATCTGTCGGAGGGTGAAGATATGATCAATACACCCTCTTCCTGGTCTAAAGCCTGCCTGGCTCTCTCGTGTTTGTGCTTCCCGAGCACCACTCAGTCTACGCATGATTATTGAGCCTAAGACTTTAGATACTATATTAGTCAAGCTAATCCCTCTGTGATTATCACAGGAAGACTTGTCTCCCTTCTTGTATATGGGGATAATCAGTGACTTACACCAACCCGATGGGACTTCTTCTGATTCCCAAACGCTGCCTAGTACCTCAGTTAATCCGGACAGTAAGCTGTCTCCACCGTACTTAAATACCTCTGGCGTCATTCCATCAGGTCCCGCTGCTTTGCCTAGTTTCAGATTGGTGACAGCTTTAGTAACCTCAGTTAGTGACGGAGGACCTGTATCTATATCCCATTCAGGGAGGTGTTGGATGCTCGGAAGGTTGAGCGTGGCTGTGGGCAAATTAAACTGCTCCTCATAATGCTCTTTCCAACGATCCAGTCGTCTATCCTGTGAGCTAATTATAGTGCCATTTTTTTCCGAGATTGTCTCACTAATGATTTGTCTTCTCCCACCCGTTTCCCTGATGAGTCCAAAGAGTTGCCTGGTGTTGCCTATCCTCAAAGCTTTCTCCATCTCTTTGGCTTTTGTCGCCCACCACTGTTCACGGTCCTTGCGGAGACTTTTCGTAAGTTTCCTCTTGTGCAGCTTTCGCTCCTCATTGAATTCGGAGCTCGCCGGAATAAGTCTTCTAGCATCTATCAGTTCGGATGAGGCGGTGGAGATCCAGTGGTTTTTACTCACCTTTGGGTTTACCTTATTCACAGCTTTTACAGCTGTATCTATGGCTGCCTGGATATTTTTCCAAGCTTCTTCAGGGTGAGCACAGCTGTCGAACACAGATATGTGTTTAGCTAGTTCTTCCTGAAATACGGATTTAGTTTGTGGTGGAGCGAGTTATATCGGCCGTTGCTCTACGAACTTGATTTTTCGTGCTCGCTTGAGAACATCTCCCACTATGGCCAAGTAAAGGTTTAGCGAAAACCATTAACAGTTTGATATTGGACCATCTAGTGCAAACCGGCCACAAAGCCAGCCAGCGTTGAAGAATCCTTCTCTATCATCATCTACCGGGTGACTAATAAATTGCCAAAATCATCGGAAGCATCGCATGCTTCAAACACCAGAGGCTATTGCAATTCACCTCAAACAACCAGTGCTCTATGTTCAAAAGAAGCAAGTCCAGCCCCTACTACTTCCCTTCCCTTCGGCAGAAACTATTAACTCATGAATTTGTAATATTATCTTTCCTAATTTTTCTGACATTCAGCTTATTTTATTTTGGTGCTATTGAACTGTAATCCATAGATGTTATTATTGATTCGGTGTTATTTAAACAACATTAATGTTGTTCATAATGTCGTTCATTCATTCACTATTATGGATGGATATATAACTGTAGAGCCTGATGGAAAAGGGGTTATCGAAAAGAGTACTCTTTGTTCAGAAATCATTCTTTTAAATAGTAATCATTGAAATAAGAAGCAATGAGTCAGTCATTATTCAATTCACCGGTCAAATACTAGCGGCATAAATTCCTCTAGTAGCACACATGCCTGCCTCCACTTAAATATTCTCAATGTATTACTTTCCAATTTTGGTATGTTAATTATTATTGTTAAGAACACAATATTCAGTGAAGAGACTCTCCAACGAATTTATTATCAAGCTGTACAATCGCATATATGTGTACATATGTATATATGGTTTTACTTCATAAATTATATCCGATGAGGGAATTAGGTCAAATGTGTGAATACATTAAATAATAATAATAGTAGTAGTAGTATGAAATGCACCTAAATTATTTATGATTATAATCATAGTCAAATGTTAAGTGGCAAAATAATTAATATCATATATAGAATAATACATAAAGTGTATAGATTTTGGAAAACTGTTACCCTAACCAATTTATTGATAGTAAACCGACAGATAAGCAGTTTAAACTGGTAACCAACTCACTTTCAAAGAAAACCTTATTCATGAATTTGGAATTCAAAGGTGATCAAGCTTCAGATATGCTCAAAACAACCGTCCCTCTAAATCAGCTAGTAAGATGTTCTTTGCAGAAAAATTACATATGACCTTCACTAGCCGCA